AGTCTCTTATAGACAGCAAATATATGGGTCATGTTTTGTTTTGTTTTGTTTTATCCATTCAGCCTCCCTATGTCTTTTGATTGGAGCAAATAATCCATTTACATTTAAGGTTATTATTGGTAGGTATTTATTTATTACCGTTTTTATTCTTCATGCCTATATTCTTCTCTCTATTTTTTCTTCTTCTTAGAGAAGTTCCTTTAACATTTCTTGCAATGCTGTTTTTTTTTGGTTGCTGTTGTTTGTTTTGGTCTGGGAAGCTCCTTATTTCACCTTTAATTTTGAATGATAGCTTTGCTGAATAGACTAGTCTTGGTTTCATATCCTTGCTTTTCATTACTCTGAATACTTCATGCCAAAACTTCTGGCCTGAACTGTTTCTGTTGAGAAATCAGCTGACAGGGTAATTGAACTCCCTTTTAGGTAACTTCCTATCTGTCTCTTATGCCTTTAAGATTTTTTCTTCTTTTTAACGTTTGTCATTTCAATTATGATATGTCTTGTGTTCATCTTGATTGGGACTCTGTGTGTTACCTGAACTTGTGTGACTTTTTTTCCTTCACTAGGTTAGGGAAGTTTTCTGTCCTTATTTCTTTTAATAGTTTCTGTGTTTCTTAGTTGCTTTCTTCTCCTTCTGCATTGATGCAGATGTTACCTTTCATGTTGTCTCAAAGGTCCCTTAAACCAGCAGTTCTCAACCTGAGGGTTGTGACCACTTTGTGGGTAGAATGACCCTTTCACAGGGGTTGCCTAAGACATAACAGTAGCAAAATTACAGTTATGAAGTAGCAACAAAAATAATTTTATGGTTGGGGGTCACCACAACATGAGGAACTGTATTAAAGGGTCATGGCATTAGAAAGGTTGAGAACTACTGCCTTAAACTACCTTGCTTTTCAAGTCACTGATTTGATCCTGTGCTTCATTCAGTTACTTTTAATTTCTTCCAGTGTATTCTTGATGTCAGATATGGTATTCTTTATTTCTGACTGGTTCTTGTTCATAGTTTTTATTTTATTTTTCATGCAGATATAGTTCCCACTAAGTTCCTTCTAATTCTCACTAAGTTCTTGAGCATCCTTGTAACCATTTCTTTGAACACTATATCTGATAAATTGCTTACCTCCATTTTACTTAACTCTTTTTCTGGAGAATCTCCTTATCTCCTTTGATTTTGGGCTTATTTCTTTGTCTCCCTATTTCAGCTGTCTCTTTGTGTTTGTTTCTATGTATTAAATAGAACTGCTGTGACTCCTAGTCTTTATGGAATGGCCTTCTGTAGTAGGTGTCCTAGGCGACCCAGTATGCTGTCTCCTTGATCTCCTGAGCAGGATGCCCTAGGAATGAAACTTGTGTGGATATGTGGGCCCTCCACTTGTAATTGGGTCTTGATTGCTGTTGGCCCTTTCATGTGTGGGATCAACCCTCAGGCTGGCTGACTGTGATGCTCAACACTAACCATGTGGGACAGGTTGTTGTACAGGTGCAGTCTTGATGGCTTCTGCAATCCTTAGTTAAAAGTCTCCTCTTCAGGTAGTTTCCAATTAGTATTTCAGGGTGATTGTTTTCCAGTTTAGCTGTACTAAATTTGGTTCTGGGAGGTGTTGTGAGCAAGATTCCTGTACTCTGCCACCATCTTGAACCACCACCTGCTGAGTCTTGAAAGGGCTTCATTGTAGTAATTTGACCTCTTTACCATGTAAGCATCAGGTCATTTACCTGCCCTTGGCACAAATCTGCATACATAGGAGGTTCTAAAACTTGTTAGCTGGTATCAGGAAAAGGAGTCCCTACCTGTACTCTGCTTAGTACATGTCACAGTTGACAGAAAGTTTATATCACTGAGCAACCTCTGTTGTTTGGATCCCCTTTTCCCCCATTTTTCCTTCTTTAAGGGAGGTGACAATGTTTTATACTCAGGGGTGCCTCTTTATGGGCTTGTTGGCCCTCATGGCCAGTGAAACTGCTTGGTGATGAATTTCTTTTTCTCATTAGCATTTTGACAATAATATATAACAATCCATCCCAAATCTCACAGTTTATGTAGATCTTATGACAATAGGTCTGCATTAGCTGAGGTTGTTCCGCCTCTGACTGCAGGTTGCGTGGAATTGGCTCTATTGTGGGTTGGGTCCAACTCTGCTCATGAGTTTTCTCATTTCCCTTGGACCAGAGACTGCCTGAGGCTTTACAGTCAGTGTGGGTTCATATTTCTAATGACCATCTGGCCATAGTAAGTTAGGAGATTCAGCCCTAAATCAGTGTGGATGGATGGAAGGAAGAAATAATATGTGGTTTTTTTTACAAACTACCACAAGATGGAAAGAGAGCAGGGGTCTAGATCCCTTGTTAAAAGGTAAAATCATCAGAATCATATTAGCCTTAAGTAATATTCATCCTTGTCAGTGTTTCTGTCTTGTGTCTGAATATTTTATTTCCTTTGTTCTCTCTGTTCCTAAATGATGTTTTATCAAGTTGTCAAATTCACCTTGAACTTTTCACTTGTCCCTTCAATGCCTTTACCTAGGGAATTTGAGTAAAATAGTAAATGATACTATCTTCATGTACACCTAGATGTGTAGGCAGGGTTGGGATGGCTCTCAATCTGGGGTAAGGATTAGGGACAAAGGGGATGGAAGGATTGGGAGGGGGTCTTTCTCTATTAGGGAGCATCTGAACTGAGCCCCTTCTTCTTGTTGGAGTCCACTGGGGCTCTTGAATGGATAAGGATGTTTTCCCCTTCATTTGGTGCTTCCCAGGGGTCTGCTGAAGTTGGTTTTTGTGAGACTCTGTTATGATCCTCCTAGTTAAAAAGGAGTAGAATTGTTACTGAAAAAGATTATATGTGAAGGGAATGGAGGGGTATTCCCACTGGTTTCATAGGTATGTTTATTAGTAGTACTTTCTACTATATTAGAATTAAGGGCTATTTAATAAGGGATAGTTTTATTAAGTGTATGAGTTTCATGAATCATTAAATTTCATGGCTTTTAGGTAGTTGAAGCTGGGTTATTCCTACTTAGTGAGATGGCTTTGGCCAGGAGCCAGGTAATTATAAAACAACTAACATTTTTGTAATATTGACTGATACTTGTAAACACTTTGCACATGCTCACTTTATCATCACCACAGTTCTGTGATGTATGAACCACTGTTAGCCCCATTTTTCAGAAGAGGAAATTGAAGTATAGAGTGTTTAAATAACTTGCCCAGGTTGTTCTGTAGCTTCTGGACTCAAAGTCTGCTCCAAAGATTTTGCCCTCAACCTTTGCTTTTGCTTTTCAGCAAGATGTGGAGAAATGATGGTCAACAAGAGGTTTTGCCTGACAAAGGTGTGGGGCAGGGTAGATTTTGGTGTGGAATACAGAAGATAATTTACTAGCTATAATGGGGAATAAATAGAAGCAGTTTATTGGCTATTGGTCAATGATGAAGAATGAGAAATTAAAGGAAATTTCTTTAAAAATTCAAGAATGACCTCTAGTTCTCTGGTTAGTATGAACATACTTTTCTGAGTTTTGTGATTGTAGGAAGGCAATTTGTTAGTATCTGTGCAAAACACTGAAAATCATCCCTTCAGAGGCAGTTTACAATCTGGCTATATAGTTCAGGACTTGTTCTCCTTTCTTACTTACTGGCCCCCACAAGTGGGGGAGATTACCATAAGCTCCTTCTTGGAGAAATCAGCAGTTTCCATCTTCAATGCCATCCTATTCCTCTTGTTTCTTACCTGTCTTCTTATCCTCCTGCTTTTTTTCATCTGGCTCCTCTGCACATTCTCAAGGTGATGACATTTTTTATATTTCTGATCCGATTTTTAGTTTTGATTTATTTCCACTTGTCTCTGAAGCTTTAGTTATAGGTGAGGTTTGAGTTGGAAGACCCTGGCAGGAATTCTGCCCACATCCCTGACTGGGTGTGATACTCTGGGCAGGTAACATAAGATCTTGTACCTGAGGGTTTTTTATTTTGATCATACCTGCCCCATTTACCTCACAGGGTTGTGGTGAGGGTCAAGTAAGTGTCTTTGAACGTTCCCAACCTCCCCAAGTTTACTCCCTGCCTTGATGCCCTGCATAAGTTTCATGGTGCTTTTTTTGTTACTTGTTTATTTACCTGTGTACCCTAGAGGGCCCTACATCTTATTTTCTTTAATTTCCTAGCACCTGGCGTAGGGCTAGTTGGCATGGATATGGACTTAGAAATGTTTGAATAAGTGGATAAAGAATGTCTGTCTAAAGGAAATTCATGGTCATACTCTTTTTGAACAAAGTCTTCCTATTATAGCTCTGTACTTCTTAAAGTTAGCCTTGTTAAAAATCAGCCTTTCGATACTTTCTTTTGTTCCCATTTACAGGATGCCAAATTCCAATGCCTGTGGTTGCCTTCCCCAGAATCTGTGATTGTTTTATAAATATTCATCCAATGAGTCTTGTTTTTGTTTTTGTTTTAAATAAGACAAATCAACAAATCATTCTAGATTTTGAATTAGAGATAGAAAATATTTTATATATTTTTTGTTAATTCATTTAACTAAATATGTTGAGTACCCTTTGGCTAGAGTATAGGGCATGAAGGAGAGAGAGGTGTTGAATGGAGAAAATCAAGCTCTGTTCCTTGGGCTTAGAATACAGTAGTGAACAAAACAAGTGAGATTCCTGTCCTTATGCAGCTTCTATTCTAGTGGAGTGCCAGTAAATGAAGAACTAAATGAATAAATGAGATAATTTAAATTAATCTTAAGTGCTGTATGGAGAAAACATGTGAAAAGGACTCCTAGACTAATGAGTTCTCACACATGTTAATAAACAGTACATTACAGATGTTATGCTGTTACTTTTATTGTATATTGGGTTACTTTGAAGGGATCTAATTGTCTTGTTGGGTGAGTATTTTAAGCCCAGCACCATCCATACCTCATGGAAGTGGCTGTTGCCTGGACTTTGGGCTTCATAAGAGCATCTCAGTCTATATGAGGGTTCCTTAATAAGGACCCTCTTTTTTCAGGTTGCTGATATTTGAATGTCTCTGAGGACCAAGGGAAGCCCTGGAAAGATGGGGGAGTTCGATCGTCCAGTAACTTTCTGTGCCATCTTGCTGCATCAGTGCCCAGGAAATTGTTTGCTTGATTCTGTGTCTGAGGCCCTTTGGTGGTGAGCAGTCAGGTATCCATTGCAGAGTCTATGAAGAGGAAGACCATGGTAGGATGAAATGAGAAGAGTGACACATGGGGACACTTTGTCAGTTTGTGTGATCCCAGTTCTGAAGGATGCAAAGGAATGAGCTCTATGAAGATCCAGTGGTGGCGGCAACATACTAGATGTTTTCCCAAGTGGGGAACACATTCAGGAAGTTTGGGGAATGGAAAATGTCACAGTGGCTAGAGTGTAGGGCATGAAGAAGAGAGAGGTGTTGAATGGAGAAAATCATGCAGGACCTGACAGGTCATGATAGAGAATTTAGATTTTAAGTACTACTGGAGATTGTTGGAATGTTTTTTTGAGTAAAGGAATTGTTTGATTCGATTTTCAGTTTGAAATTTACCTGTTGACTACAATGTGGAGAATAAACTGCAGAGGTGGAGTGGAAGTAGGGAGCCCAGGCACTGGGCATGATTGCAGCCTGGGTGAGGATTCATGGTGATATATGCCAGACAGGGCTATGGAGGGTGAGAAGTGGCCCAGGGCTGGAACAGGTTTGAGGTGGAACTGATACACTGGAGATGATGCTGTGAAGAACTGAGAACAACCCAGGATGATGTTTAAGTTTTGGCGTGAGCAACTGGGTGGCTGGTGGTGCCTGGGGCAGATCAGAATATGCAGGATGGGGGAACAATACTTCCTTTAGACATGTTTAACTGGAGAAGCCTTTCAGACCCTCACTTGGAGGAATCCGCTGGCGGCAGGCTGGGAGAGTAGAGCTAGAGGGGTAGGGAGTTGTGGTTGGGGTGTTGTCAGGGCTGCAGGCACAAATCAGGAGTCCTCAGCAGGCGGATAAAATTTCTCTCCTCATAGATGAAAGGGTTTGAAGGAGAGTTAGGAATTTTTTCTTTCTTGTAGGCATATGATATAATTTTTTACAAGTTGTGTTCATTATCCTATCATTGTGTGTTATGAACTGTTTCTGTAATTCAATTTATTCAAGAATATATGGCCCTGGCCAGTGTGTCTTGGTTGGTTGGAATGTTGTCCTGTACACTGAAAGGTGATGGGTTTGATTCCTGGTCAGGTCTAAAAAAAATAAAAAGAAAATATTGAACTAAATGCTGTATTGGATACGGGGGACATAATGATATGCATGAGATAGACTGTGAGTTCTCTGAGGTTAGGGAGTTTCTCCAACAGAGAAGACAGATTTTTCCATCAGAATTAAGTCAGGAATTCCATCAGGAATTAAGTAAACTATGACACATTCTATGATAGGGAAAGAGGAGAGTGATGGGGCACCTAGCAGAGGCGCTGACCTAATAATCTTGAGGTGAACTGGGGATAGTTTAGTTGACCAGTGAGTGGTGAGTAGGAGCTGGCTAGGTGAAGCATGCTTTAGAGGGAACTGTTAGTGGTGGATGGGATAGCAGCTTGTATTGGAGTGAAAATGAACAAAACCTTTATTGGAATTGGCACATTCTGTGGGAGACACACAAGGATTCCTTGGCAAGATTGAAGAGCTTATAAGAATGATAATATTCATGTGATAATGATAGTCATTTTATTGTTACTTGCTTTCAAATAGGTTAATTTTTTAGTTACTATGGACTTTCATTGCTCTGTGCTCAGTTTTATTTTGGGACAGGAAATAGAATGTGAAATTGGCAGCTCATATGGTTTTAAAAACACCTTATGTACATTATTTCAAAGAACTAGGGCAAATTTTTTGCATGAAAGCCTCTATATAGTCATGAGAGGAAAACAACTCTTTAGATTCAGTAACATAGTATTAACTTTATAGAATTTAAACATAGTTATGGGTGTGTTCACATATAGTCACAGTTTTAGGACCCCCAAAGCAATTGATATCATTCTGTTATATATTGACTAGTGACACATTTTTTTTTTCCCCCTTGAGTAATCCTTATATAATTTTAGGGAAGCTGTTTTCATTTTCCTAAGGTACTAGTGTATTCTTCCAAAGAGCTAACACCTTGTCAGGACCCTGTTGTGAATGACAAAGACAACCTTGTTTGCTAAGGGCAACATACAAAGGTGTGTTGACAGTGGATAACTTCTCTGACAGGAGTTGTGAGGGATAATTGGGCCCATTTTAGCTTGGCCCCAGCTAGAGTTGTCGCTGGGCTAAGTTCCCTATATGACTGGTGCAGCAGGGAGAGTTACTGTTCAAGGCAGCTCTAGGAACATATGGAGGGCTCACCAAATCCAAACAGGAATGGGATGGATCACTTAGAAGCTGGAGGGAAGGTGTTGACCAGTGGCCCAGATAGAAGTGGGTGGGTGTGGTGGGGAGCTCATCTGCTAGTTCTCTCTGGTTGGTTTTATGTCAGGGAGGAGCCAGAGACAGCCATAACTCCACCAGCAAAGTTGTTTTTCAAGCCACCTTCTACATGAATTTCTACTTCTCCCTCCCCTAATAGGAAGTCATTTTTTCCCTCCCTAGACCCTCACTTAGTGACCTTCTAGGTGGTCTGTAAATACTGTGCCCCCATGGCTCTGATCTTGACTCCAGTCTCCTGCTGGGTTCTTCCTGTGGAGGAGGTGCCCCAAGCCTGTTCTGAGCTCTCTTAGTGTTGAATAAAATGGATGGAAATACTATTTTGTTTTGTTTTGTGTTATAAGGGTATCAAACTAGTTTTTACATTTCTTTCATTTCTGAAAAGGATTTTTGTGAATTCTGATAATTGTATAGGTTATTGTCATAAATGGAAACTTTTTCTTTTCAGATAATGTGGATGCAAGTGAACTTAAGCAGTTTTTTGAGACCAACTATTCTCAGATATATTTCATCTTCTATGAAAATTTTATAACACTGGAAAATAGTGTGAAATTAAAAGGTAAGCATTTCTACAAATCTTTTTTGAACATACAATTTTTTTTAACCATTCAGGTTTTCTTGCACCTCAAGCTCAGATTACCTAAAGCTTCACTTATCCTCTTACCCCCAAAGCCTGACTCTCCTAACCCTATCTCTCATCCTCTAGGATCCCCACTGCTGTAATGACAGTTTATGAAATAGATTCAACATCCTGAACACATCTTTGACTTCTCCCTTTTGTATACCTTTTCCTTATATCCATGAAGTACCTGTGAGACACCCAGGTATAGGTTCTGGCTAGGCAGTAAAAATATAGGGACTGGAGCTTGAGGAAGAGAGGTGCAATTATGCTGTTACCAAGGAAGAAAGTATGTGCAGAGAAAGAGTGGCAGTCAATGATTTGGGGTGATTTCTTCTTTTATGGGGCAGACAGGAAAAATAGCTGGTGGGGGGAGGGTGCCAGGAAAGTGTTATTACAGGTGCCCAGAGAAGAGATGCAAAAAGGTGGGTAGCAACAGGACTAGGAATTGATAGCACATTGAGGAGGCTATAACTGACTAGTGAAAGAAACGTTCTAGCTGAGTAGTTGGGATCAGAACCCAGACAGAGAGAAATGGAGAAACTGGGTGGTGAGACCATGAAGGCTACATGTAAGAATACCACTTTTGAAAGTGTAATGATGAAGACAGGACGTGCATCTCAAGGGGTAGCTTGGTCATAGGGAGGTTTCAAAGGATGTACTTGCTTGTTTGCAGGCTGAAGAAAGTGAGATAACTGATGGTGCAAGGCAGTGGGGGAAGTGGGCTGAGACAGAATCAAGTATAAAGAGGAGGACATGGAGAGGGGTGTATAGATACCCCAGTCTGTAAAACCTGAGGCAGATGTCAAGCATGGAGGGGAAGGAATTTGGGGTGAGGGGCTATGGTAGTCCCTGATGTATATCAGATGGCTCAGAGTCATATAGAATGATCCAGACTCAAGTAGGTCATCATTCATGGGCATGTGCCCAGATGCTAACAAGTATTTGTTTTTGTTTTTTAATGAATTACTCTGTTTTTTCCTCCTGTGATTTATCAATTGATGTAAATCTTGAACTTAAAAATTTTTTCCAAATTGGTAGATACTTCAAATATGAAATTATCTAGTTACCTTGCTTTCTAGCTCTGTTCCACTTCTCCTTTTTTCATGAGTGTGTGGAGAATAGTGTGATATTATATGCACCAAAATAGCAAAGCATCATATCTTAAAAAAATTCTACAACCTAAAATTCCCATTTTTACTTTTTTAAATCCTCACCTGAGGATATTTTTCCATTTATCTTCAGATAAAGTGGGAGGGATGAAGGCGGGGGGGGAATCATCGATGTGAGAGAGACACGTCAATTGGCTGCCTTCCGCAAGACCCCGACCAGTGCCGGAGACTGAACTGCAGCTGAAGTACGTGTTCTTGACCAGTACCTGTCCTTGACTGGAATCAAACCCTTGACTCTTTGGTCTGTGGGCTGACACTCTAATCACTGAGCCAAATTGGCCAAGGCTAAAATTACCATTTTTAAAAGTTCCTCCCTCCCCTCTCCCCCTTTCACTATCTCTATCTTATTAAAAAAATGTAGCTGTTAAGACTGTATCAATTAGTTTATGCTGCATAGCAAACTGTCCCAAAACCAAGTGCTGTAAAAGAACAGCTAGTCATTTATGTATGATTTTCTGGGTATATTTGTATGTTTAATGGTTCTTCTGGATTAGGCTAGCTCATGCCTCTGCTATCAGCTGGTGGTAAATGGCCTCATTCATGTGGTGTTTGGTTGGCAAGCTATTGACCAGATTGCCTTAGTTCTCCTCCATGAGGCCCTTCTTTTTTCAGCTAGCAGGCTATCTTGAACTCCTTCAGATTGTGGTCTCAGGGTTCTAAGCTCAGGAAGACTGTTTTCAAATTTGTGCTTGCCTACATCTGGCATTGGCCAGACCAAGTCTCATGGAGAAATAGGAAGGGGAAAACTCTTCTATTTTACAATGTACTGCAAAGAATCATAACGAAGAACCAATACAAACAGGATGAGATTTTGAAGTTTCTTGCATTTAGTACAGTTTGTGTGTTGCTTGAAGTGCAGGGAAGAAAGTGTATCAAAACAAAAGAATCAAGAAGAGTATTTACTAGGAATGATGAACTCATCTTGTGATAACTTCAACCCTCCAGTTATTCAGGCCAAATTTTGAGTTATTGATTCTACCTTCAAAATACACCCAGAATCATTGGGCTCTTCTCATTGTCTGTGCTGGTGATACTGAAGCTCCCATTATCCCCACCTGGATTATTGTGCTCTCTCCTCCCTGTTTAATCCCTACCAAAGTCTCTTCAGAAGAGCAGCTGGAGCCCTGGCCAGTTTGGCTCAGCGGTTGGAGCATTGGCCTGTGGACCAGAGAGTCCCGGGGGATTTGGTTCCTGCTAGGAGAACGTACCAAAAACAAAAACAAAAACAAAAACAAAAAAGAGCAGCTGGAGTGATGCTTTAAAATCAAATTGAGCCCGGCTGGTGTGGCTCGGAGGTTCAGCACCGACCCATGCACCAAGAGGCCGCCGGTTTGTTTCCCAGTCAGGGCACATGCCCAGGTTGTGGGCTCGATCCCCAGTGGGGGGCATGCAGGAGGTGGCCAATCAATGTTCTCTCTCATCGATGTTTCTATCTCTTCCTCTCTCTCTAAAATCAATAAAGAAAAAAAAAATAAAACAAGTCGAATCATGACTCTCAGCTCTCCAGACCCTCAAATGGCTTCTCATTCCTGAAGTCATTACAGTGGCTTCACACTTTACCTGTCTTCCTTTACCCCATCTACACTTGAACCTCACCTGCTACAACTTTCCCCCTTTGCCCCAGACACAAAGGTCTTTTTCCAATTGCCTTTCTTCCTGACTATGCCAGATCTGCTCAGCCTCAGGACCTTGTACTGTCCACTCCCTCTGCCTGGAAAACATTTCCCCTAAATTTCCATATGGCTTGTTTTCTGACCCCCAAATTTTCATGTGGCTTACTGCTTACCTCTTTTATATCTTTACTCAGATGCACCTTATCAGCAAGGTGTTTCCTGACTTCACTAGTCAAAATTGCATACCACCCTTTCTGGCATTCCACACCTGCCTTTCCTTTTGGCTTTCTCACTAATTCTTTTAATGAATGCCTCCTCCTGTCAGAATGTAAGGTTCCTCAGGGTTGTTGTGTTTTGTTCACTTCTGTATCCTCAGTTCCTGGAATAACCCCTGACATAGAGACATTCTTTAGTATTTGTTCAATGAATGAATGATATCTACTTCATAGAGCTGTGGGTATTCAGTTAGTTCATGGATCCACAACTTATAGCTGCTGCTTGTTTTTATAAATTAAGATACATTGGGCACAGCCATACCCATTCATGTATGTATTGTCTATGAGTGCTTTTGCACTTTAACAGCAGAGTTGAGTGGTTGTAAGAGAGGCCTGAAAACCTAAAATATTTATTATCTGGACTTTTACAGAAAAAGTTTGTTGATTTCCTAGATTAAATGATGTATGCTAAGCACTTAGCACAGTTCTTGGTACATAGATTGGACAGTAAATGGTAACTGCTGCTGTAGGTGTTATGGTTTTTATAATTGTTATTATCAAAAGGACAATGTGCTATTGCTTAGTGACTTTTTATGGTTAGTACTGCTCTATGCCTCTTCATACCACAAAATTAAAAGTCTTTGTTTTTAATGTACATTCTGTCATAACTTGAACTCATAAGTAACTAACTGAGAAATCAATAGATTACCTGTCATGGATTGGTAACAATTTGGAAAACATGGAAGGTGTGTTTAAATAGCTAGCAAGGAGCAGCTTTGCTAGATGTGGACCCAGGCCCTCTGTATTCCTAACACGGCTCCACACTATCTCCTGGTATTATTTGAATAACTAAATGTATGTTGAAGCTTAAATGTTTTAAGATACCTTTTAACATAAGTTTTTAATATCCTAAAATTTACACATTGTCATAACTGTTTTTTTTTTAATATATTCCAGGGAATAATAAGTCACAAAGGGAGGAGCTGGACTCTATCCTCTTTCTTTTTGAAGTAAGTTTTTGTTAATTCATTTAGCTTTTAAGATTCTTGTTGAAATTATTGTATTTTAGATCTTCAGTTTCACTTGAAGACAAATAAAAATGATGGACAAGTCCGTCCCTCCCTCCCTCCCTCCCTTCCTTCCACTTTTATAAACAGCACTGCAAAGAATGTTCTTGTGATTTTTTTTTTCTTTTTGAAAACATATGGGAGAATTTTTTCTGTGTGGGTACCTAGACATGAATTATTAGAAGGAAACATACACATTTTATTTTTATTTTATTTTTTTCCTCTTGATTTTAGAGAGAGAGGAAGGGAGAGAAAGATAGAAACATCGATGAGAGAGAACATCGATTGGCTGCCTCCTGCATGCCTCCCACTGGGGATTTGGCCCACAACCTGGGCGTGTGCCCTGACTGGGAATCAGACCGGTGACCTTTTGGTGCATGGGTCAACACTCAACCACTGAGCCACACTGGCCAGGCCATATGCACATTTTAAATACTGATTGCTAAATTGCTTTTTTAAAAGGTCATATATATTTATATGTAAACCTATATGTAAGTTTTATGTTAATTTCACTAACCAACACTGGAGATTATTTGTCTTTTTCATATATGCAAACTAACATGTAAAACTCACTATTTTTAATATATATTTTTCTGACTACTAGTGAGGTTGTGATCTTTGTATGTGTCTTTCTGTGTTGATCATATATTCTTTTCAAAGTTGAAACAACATTGATTTTTGATCTATTAAGCTTTATTGTCCAAATGTGTTAGACAAGCAGCCAGATTTTTGGTACCTTTAGAACTATACTGGAACTAAATGATGCCAAATTATAGGTCCTGAAAGTTAATTGTTGGTTATCTAGAAGTTATTCAGGGTTTGAAGAGACATGTGCTAAGGTTGGCATGAGATTGACTTGATGACTGTGAAGGAAAAGGCCGCATGTGTGTTTGCTGCAGAGTTGACTGGAGAGGGAGGCCAGGGGAGGAAGGCTCCTCATGGGCTTTCTGGGTTTGTGGAATAAAACAGATATGGAAACCTCCATCCCATCCCAGGACTTAACTCATGGCTGTTGCTCAAAAACTGTGGTAACTCTTTCTCTTCTCTGAGGATTGTACTTATTTCTCAAAGTAACAGACATTCATTCACCTCATATTTGGTGGTTATTTTGTTTCCTATGGTAACCCTTCTGTGAATGAAACTTGTGCAGAGTCGTAAGATGTGGAAGGCAGTTCTTCTGGGATGGCAGCTCCAAATTTATTTTAAAGTGCCTCTGTTTATATTATTTCTTTTAAAACTTAAAATATATATCTACTGAACACTATTTGTTTAATTAATTTAAATTATTTTATTTATGTAATAGTTGATGCATTTACTAAAGAATTTGTAACATACACACATTTGAAACATGATGATCAAGTCCATACTTTTGAACCCCTCTCCCTCCCCTGTTGTAAGAACTAGAAGCTACGTAGGTGCTCCTCCTTGATCCTATTTCTTCTCTCCCCTAAAGGCAACCTCTCCCATTCATTTTTGTCATTCCCGTTTTATTTAGTTAGTTTTTAAATATATTTTTATTGCCTTTTTTTGTTTTGTTTGTTTTTTTAGGTAGAGAGGGAGGGAGAGAGGGAGAGAGATAGAAACATAGATGAAAGAGGAACATCCACTGGCTGCCTCCTGCACTCCCTACACTGGGGACTGAGCCTGAAACCTGGGCATGTGCCCTGACCGGGAATTGAACCAGCAACCTCTTGGTGCAGGGGATGACTCTCAATTCACTGACCCACACTGGCCAGGCCTTTTAAAAAAGTGGTTTTACCACAAGAATTTGTATTCCTAAACAATGCATTGTGTAGTTTTGTTTGATTTTGTGTGATAACAATGGTCTCATATGGTATACAATTATCTTTGGCTTGCTTTTTACACTCAATATTATTTTTAAGATTTATTCATGTTTCTGAATTTAGCTCTGGTTCATTTCATTCCCAGTGCTGGGTTAAGTCAATATATATGATTTATTTAATTCCAGAATTTTGTCTATAGATTTTTTTGGTTTTCTTGGTAGATAGAATGTCTGTAAATAATGACAAACTTGCTAGTTAGTTTTATTGCACTGGCTCTAGTAAATAGAAATGATAAAGATGGTCATTCTGTTTTTGATTTAAAGAGTTTCATCGTTAAGAATAATATTTTCTGCCCTGGCTGGTTTGAGTCAGCAGTTAGAGCATCAGCCTGGGGACCAAGGAGTCGTGGGTTCTATTCTGGTCAAGGGCAGGTACCTCAGTTGTGGTTTGGTCCCGACCTTGGTTGGGATCATGCAAGAGGCAACCTGTTGATGTGTCTGTCTCACATTTATGTTTTTCTCTCTCTCTCCCTCCCTCTCTATCTGAAGATAAATGGGAAAAATATATATCCTTGGGTGAGGATTAAAAAAAAAAAAATCCATGAGAGAGAACGTCGATTGGCCGCCTCCTCCATGCTCAGGCCCACAATCTGGGCATGTGCCCTGACCCAGAATTGAACTGGTGACCTCTTGGTGCATGGGTCAATGCTCAACCACTGAGCCACACTGGCTGGGCAACAATTGTTGTTTATAGTAGAAACATTATTATTGTTGTTGTTACCATTATTATTAGTACTGGTGGTGGTAGTAGCAGTAATAATAGTAAAAGTTTTTGTGTCACACTTTACAGATACAATTTTACTCTATTGCCTAGTTGCCATTGTAACAGTTTTGTTTTTTAATCTTCACCGGAGGACATTTTTGCATTTATCCTCAGATAGAGCTGGAGGGAGAGAGGGAGGAAGAGAAAGAGAGAAACATTGATGTGAGAGAGAGACATTGACTGGTTGTCACCCACACAACCCCAACCGGAGCCGGGGACACACTGCAACTGAGGTACATGCCCTTAGCAGGAACTGAACCCAGGCCTCTCTGGTCCACTGGCAGATGCTCTAACCACTGAGCAAAACCGGCCAGGGCCATTGTAACAGTTTTAAACCCTGTTCTCAGTTCACTTGTTCCTTTAAATGCCTTTTCTCTCTGGCTTCTTTTACAGTCTCTTCCTTAATCTTTGGTGTTTTGCAGTTTTACCACAAAATGTCTAGTTGAAGTTTTCTTATTTGCTTAGTATATACATGTTCCCTTTATTTCTGAATTCAACTCTTTTGTAATTTCTGTAGAATTCTCAGCTACTATCTCCTCAAGTATTGATTCTTTTCTATTCTTTCTGGCCATACTTTCTAGGATTCTTATTTAAACTTCTTGATCTGTCTTCCATGTCTCTTAAGCTTGCTTTTAGCCTCTCTTCCCTCCATCTCCTTGTCTCGAATTCTGGGAAATGTCTTCAGTTCTCTCTTCCAGTTCACTAACTTTTTGCATTTGGGTCTAATATACTGCTTAACCATTGTATTGAGTTTTAAATTTCAGTGACTCTTTTTCATGTATTAACTTCTTTTGGTTTGCTATTCATATTTGGCTGGTTGCTTTTGATAGTCTCTTGATCCTTGTTCACTTTTAATACATCTTTTCTTAAACATTTGACATGTAATATTTTATAATCTGTATCTGATCATTCTAATATCTGAAGTTGTCTAAATTTGTTGGTTATTTCTGCTATCTTCCACAGTGGCTTCATTTTTTGAATGTTTTGTGATGTGATTTTGAGGTCAGCTTTAATAAAATATAGATGTAATCTGTTTTAATCCTGCTCCCCCCCCCCCCCCCCCGAGGATTTTGTCTTTGCTTTTGCCAGAAGTGTGGGAGTGCTCTTGATTGGAATCAGATCACTGTTGCTCCATTTGAGGTCCTCGTTTATTAACAGAGTCTCAGGTTCAATTTCTCAAACTTACTGTGTGGTGGGCACTGGGATCTGGAGGGCACAGACATCAATAGATACTACTGATCTGGCACTTTGCATTACTTTTCTTGAGCTTGTTGCTTACAGATCAGGTTCTGGTTCACTTTTCTTCTGCTACCCTTCTTCCCTTCTACTTTCTCTCTTACTATGTTTTAAGTTAGTTTCCCAGTATCCTCCAAAGTTCAGAAATATTTTGAGAATTGCACTTACTGTCATTGATCTCAGGTCTAGTTGTCCTGCAACAGGATAGCCCATCACAGACAGTTGTCTTATACCTCCCACAGAGGAAGGTTCAATACCTCTTCCTGTCCAGAAATTCTAGATTAGGGAGAGTGTTATTAATGATACATTACCAAGTACAGAGGGTTAGTTGCCTATATAATAGAACAAGCATATATTATTCAAAATTTCATAAAGCTTTCATTTTGCATAGTAAATGTGAATGAACAGTTGACCTGCGTTACTTTTATTTATCCTTATGTTCTCTTTGTCTCTGGCTTTAGAAGGTAAGTTGTAATTTGAATTGTTAATTCTGAGAATTAAGTAACTTAATTGCTGCTTTCTATAAGTTAGTGCTATATAAAGAGATGGTATATGAGGATTTGGAGGTAAATATTTATCAAGGTGTGAATAATTGGGAAATGATTTCTTAAGATCTGTTAAATCAGAGAAGGGAGACTGTATAAAAATACTGTAAAAATAAGAAATGGAGTAGAACAAAGCATAGAGTAAAGAAGGCATTGCCCTTAGAGTATTATGCTAAGCAAAATAAGCCAGTTAGAGAAAGACAAGTATCACATGATCTCTCTTATTGGTGGAATATAATGAACAAAATAGAGCCAGAGACATAGAAGTAGGGAATAGACTGACAAACCTCAGAGGGAAGGAGGGTGGGAAGACATAAATCAAAGAACTGATATGTATATATGCAAAACCAATGGACACAGACAACAGTGTGGTGAAGGGCAGGAACAGGGAGGAGGGTGTCAGTAGAGGAAAAAAAGAAGGGACATCCGTAATACTTTAAACAATAAAGATAAATTTAAAAAGGAAAGAAAGAAAAGAAAGAAAGAAGGCATTGACAATGTAAGAAATATTCAAACTTGTTGAGGATTTTTGTGAGTTAATTTGAGCCAAACTGAC